GGTCAGAGTCTACGCTCGTGCTTCAAATAGAGCAACAGTTTTGGACGCAGCCTCTCCAGCGGTAACTGATCGCGATATGATCGATTTGCGTCCATGGCTGGCCCGAGGCTGGTGACCGCCAAGTCACTTTTCTGCGGGTGCTGTGTCGAAAGTTTAAGTCCGTAACTATCGACCCTTCTGAATCGATGAGATTTCTCCTTTGCTTCAGTTAATTAAGCAGTGAATGACAGACGAATATCGTCCAATCCGCGTCTAGTAATCGAATCCGTCACGTTTGCTTCCCGTTGGCTCTTTGGCTCGCTCGGTTGATGCATCTGCTCACTCTGATCTGATACTGCCGTCACAGAGATGTACGCCGTCAGTTTGCTTGGTTCTTTCAACGCTTCGAACTTACGCGTAGACAGACGGCGTCTGGGTATCTTTGCGGCCTATGCCCCCATAAACTAGTGCTGATTCGGTTAAAGATGACTTCTATCGTTAACTTAACGCGCTCCTTCATTACAGGGAAAGTACGTATACTGTACTGGTGGCTGCTGACCTGAACACTCAGGCTGAAAGATCGTCCACTGCTAAGCTGTATCTTGGCGAACAACACGGTCTATGCTACTGCAGCAATAACAATGAGCGGTTACCACACCTTGAAGATGAACATGTATTTCTCACGAGCCTTAACTGGCGATACAGCACCCCCGATGGGTAGCATGGAACCCTCCAGGCTTGGACACAAAGTGATCACATTGCAATTAATTGCCGTTAGAGAAGCTGCGCTCGATTCGTAGCACGAGCGTTGACTCTGACCGCGCAATTGTATGTGCCAATTTACGGGTACATTTCGGTGGACGCAGGTGACGACTCTGGGTGTTTATGGACACCCACCAACTGCCAAAACCATATGTTCTGAATGCGTATCGAAGTACGCTGGCACCCGAGCTGAGTAAGCACTCCCTGAACACAGTTGAGGATCACCGATCACATATCTGCCAGCTGTTATTAGCAGCAGGCATATCTTTATGTGGCAAATTAAATTACCCACCGGGGCATTAGGTCTCTATGCAATTTCTGGAACTTTTGGATGCTCGTCGACAGATTCCGGCTGGGTGCGAAAGCGAGACTCACAAGGACCTCAGGACGAAACTGCCTTCTAGCTTGAAGAGAGACCGGGAATCTTGGTGCTCCCATCGTGCATCTGAGGTGGAAATGGCAGCTCTGTTGTTAACCATCGGAAGTTATTCCGTTTGATATGGGAAACGGGCAGCGGTAGACCTTGTGTTATCGCGACCATAGGTGACGAGAGGGGACACCCTTCTCACAGCTTGTCGAAAGGCTTGAAGTGTTGGGCCGAACATTTTGAGAAGCAGTTTCGTCAACCCGATTTACCAGTTTCTCCATCGGCCATGAATCGCATTTCTCGCTGGGCCGTCTCTTGAATCTGCTTTCACGCGTAGAAATCGAACTTAAGATCCGACTGTTTTAATTGAACAAGGCCGCAAGTGCAGATCGACTTCTTCTTCCAGTCCTTTTGAATTTTGTGGGACCAACTCGTGGATGCTTTACACAACTCACTGGTGCAGTTGTGGGATCATTAGACTGTTTCAACAGACCGCTCCGTCACACTTCCAGGTATCAAGGAAGGCTCCCATTCGGAATGCAGTAATCATTGAGGGATTAGTCCGACCTACATTGCTTCTTAGTTACTTTCTTTTGCCGTTCTTCATAGATTTGTTGGCGCACTTGATTAGCAAGTCGGGTTTCTTCGTAGCCCCGATTGTTTTGATCAAGTCTTCCTATTATGTCAATTATTGGAGCACCATCGTGTTTATTGGCGACCCACCGTAGTCGTGTTCCTTAATACCCTAGGTGCCTTTGATTCGGTGGATCGATGTATCATTTGGGACTGTCTACTCAGGATAGGTGTGCCCGAAGTTTACTTAAACATTGTCAGAACGCTTTACGCACGCAGTTCTTTTAGGATGAGGGTTTACAACAAGCTGTCGCTGCCTTTTACTATCTCCAGCGGTGTGACTTGGATACTCGATGCCACCTTCTTAACTTTACCATCGATGAAGTCACGGAAACTGCGTTCACTGGACACGACCTACAAGCTGTGGAGCTGCTCCCAATTGATCGAATTTTTTACTTGGAATGTGCTAGCGACGTACTGGCTCGTAGCCTCAAAAATCACAAGCCTGTCTTGTAATATGAGGGCGCTGGTTGGTGCATGCTTAAGGACCGGGCGACCCTCGCAGTATCCTTAGCCCACGTGCGACTAGTGGTGGTTGCGCTGCAGCGAAGCGTCGGTACTGCGTACAGGCATACTGTTTCTGGTTCATCATCATCATCATCATTACACGTTAGCTGGAGGTGGAAAACACCTCAGCTATTGTGCCGCAATACAAAAGGCAAGAAAAGAAAAAACAAACAGTGGCACGCCCGCGGAGTCCCCAGTAACGGATGGACATCGTTCCGGAGAGCTAACAGCTGGCTGCCGTAAAAGAAAGTCATATTATGCCTAACGATTGAGATCGTGATTGGAGGGGGATGCTAAAAAGGAGGGGATGGACAAAGGAACTCACAACACAAACGCCATTGGGGCCGGCTCCTAGCCATATCAGCAAGTGTGTCCAGCCAAACGTGTTCACCGTCCTTAGGACCCCAGCCAGGCAGTCGGGATGCACCAACCGACGCCAACTTCGAAGTGAGGGTTTTCATTTCTCGCGACCAAGTCATCACTTGGCCTCCCCTCCTCCTCTTCCAACCGCACCCACAACGCGCAAACAATGCACGTCGTGGGAGTCGGTGTGCTGGCATGCGCAAGACGTGGCCCAGCCATCGGAGCCTGGTGCGTGATATAATCGTGCTGAGCGCTTCACTCGCTCTTCCTGCACCAAATACGCGACGTCGAACACGCTCATTGCTCATGCGGTGTTCCCACCAGACATGAGCTAAGCTGCGAAGGCAGCGATGATCGAACGTGACGAGTCTCTTCATGTCTGTCGACCTGATGGGCCAGGTTTCACAGCCATATAGGAGAGTTGAACGGACGGCTGCGTTGTAAACTCTGCCCTTGAGGGCGAGAGTAAGGTCGCGTCTGCGCCACAGGTGGCGGAGATTGGCAAAAGCACCTCGAGCTTTTGCTATACGGTTCGTAACCTCATCTTCAATCCCACGGGTGCTAATATAGCTGCCCAGGTACTTGAATTCCTGAACGACTTCTAGCAGATCACCACCAAGCGTTAGCGCAGGATTGGGTCCCTGCCAATCTTGGAGAAGTACTTTGCATTTTGATGGAGCAAAGCATAGCCCAAAACGACTGACAGCCAGTGCTAATCGGTTCAGTGCTGTTTGGCATGTTTGGGAGCTGTCACAAATTAGGGCAATATCGTCTGCACTGTTTCTGGTTACCTTGTTCTTATTTGTGACAGCTCCCGAACGTACCAAGCAGCACTGTACAGATTAACGCCGCCTGTTAACCTATTCTGGCTGTGATTTGCTCTATTCATAGACTAAGCTTGCCACCGGGATTATCAGAGATGATTCCCTGCACGGACCCTTAGCGTTGATCTTGAAAGCTTCCAGAAATGAACGTTTCTAGACAGTTATATCTGCCAGTGTAATCGAGGATGATATCACGAACAGTAGAGCAAAAGCTCGAGGTGCTTTTGGTAATCTTCGCTACGTGTGGCGCCGGCGCAACATAACTCTTGTCACGAAGAACAAAGTTCGTGATGTAGCCGTCTTTTCAACTCTCCGGTACAGTTGCTACACCTGACCCATGAACTTAGCAGATTTAAAGAGGCTAATTACGTTTGACCATCGCTACCTTCGCAGCTCAGCTCATGTCTACAGAGAACAACGCCTGAGCAATGGTCGTTTCCGGTGTGGTGTATTTGATGCAGGAAAAGCACTGTTATTTCATGCGCCGGGCTCCGATGACTCGGTAACGAGTTGTGCACGCTAGCTCACAGACTACCGCGACGTACATTTGCACGCCGAGGGTATGGATGTAAGAAGAGAGGAGGCGAAACGATGACTTAGTCAAGTGGAATGAAGTCCCTCACTTCGAACTTGGCGTCCGTTGATTTCTCCCGACTGTCGGACTGGGGTCCTAAGGAGCCGGCCTCAGTTACGTTTGTGTTGTGAGTTTCTTTGTCCTTTCTCATCCCGCTTATCTTCTCCCTCAAACTACGGCCTCAGTCTTGGAGAATAATATGCTTCTAAGCGCCAGTAGCTGAGGTGTTCCCCACCTCTAGCTAACATGTATGATGATGATGATGATGCCATATTATAATGTAGTCATGAGTAGGGGATTTTAATATAAATAATTGAGGGTTCGTCACCGACTGGCGGTGCAAACCGCTTTTGGTCATGGGTTCGAATCCTAACGGATCCGGTGGATGCGCACTACTGATGATGCCCAGCAGGCTGAAATTGCAGTCTAATGCTTTTCCGGGCATGTAGGGGACTATCTGATTTGGAACTTGCTGCGACGAACCCTCAATTATATATTAAAATGCTTTGCACTTCTCTTGTTTTCATTTATCTTTGTATTTCGGCATAACAATCGCACTTTGTTTCTCACCTTTAGCTAATGTGTAACGATAATTATTTTGATGGATTCACTCCTGTATGCCGGGATAGTACTGCTTCCAATACAGCTGCGGTGTTCCTCTACGGATCTCTGATTCTCAAAGACTCGAGCCATTTCCCCAATGATTGGGAGGTGATGGATCTGACATTTGATCTCCCTTTTGCTCTCTGTCTTCCATTGAGCTGATGAAAACGTGTGGTCTCTTACTAGATAGTCGTAATGAAACTGTCCAATTGCCTATGGGGTTTTTGTTTTACATTTCAGCTCTGAGGTCCGTTACGAGCACCTTACGCGTTGGACACGGAAGCCGGAATCTTCGACCAGCCATATATCACAGTATACACCACTTGAGTAGCTTGGAGTACATTGGACCGATGCCCTCCGCGGTTTTTACTCAGGTGCTCAACTTCCCATGGGAATACGTTGTGTCTCTTTTCTGGGACAGATATCCCAATCCGTTTTCGTAAGTGTATAGCTGCTAAACCTCAACCATTCTAGAAAGCATGTGCTTACTTCCGATGTGCTGGAGCGTCGATTGCTCCCAGATAGGAAATTGTACACCAAGCGCCTGATATTGAAACGAGGTTTTGGGAAATTCCCTGCATGGATACGACGTTTCGCATCAGGGACCAAGGAGTTGATTGTTGAAGAGTCTCTGCTGGATATGCACTCTCAAAATTTGCGAGTAGTCACCCGCAATGTTGGGTCTCTCGGAAAGTATGCAGTGAGTTCCTTCTCTGTAGTTTTGTGTAACTAATGTTCAATCCAGCCAGATTTGAACATTAGTTAAAACTCCTATGGTCAATTTCACGAGAATTGCTATTTATCATGCTTATTTCGACTCGGCTCATGGCTGTTTCGATTGCATTGCTAACGAGAGTTATGCTGTTTTCAGCTTTAGCATAAGCTGGTCTGGATGCTGCACCAGTGAATTGCCAAGTAGCACATAAGTTGTGGCAGTCTCCTGTGCCACAACTCCCGTTTCCATGCACTTGCTTCTACTCTCTCATGTAACAAGGACCTTCTCCCAAAGACAATTTTAGCTGAAACCATCAACGTCACATCAAAGGATAGGCCATGTGAGGCATACTGTTTTAACCGGTGTTCCTATAATCACCGGTCGGCTAGTGACGGAATGGATGCGGTGCCTGCCTTGTTGCCCGAAACTCGTCGGTTCGAGCCTGTATAGGTACGAGCAGCATTGCTGTATCCCCCTAGGCTGTGCGTGACTGTTGGCGGTCGCGTGTCAGCAAAACGTCAGTGCGACATACCGGCGGACTGCTAATGCCTTTAAAACCGGCGGTTCGAAAGTACACAGTATCCAGACATACATGCAACCGCCAGTCGTTATGTTGTAACGGAACATGACAACACTACTCCGATGTACTGCCAGTGCCTTTTTCTTCAAGAGGCTGAACATGTGACGGAAACACGACCCAAAGAGTAACTAAGCGTCAAATAGCCACTTGTGTCAGTGTGGAGGTGAATGTAACGACACTGGTTCCTTGACCGAGTAGGATAAACAAATAACGCGCTCATCCACTCGTTAAAAAGCAAACTTTTTTGAAGATTATATGCAGTGATGTAACTGTGAACTTCTGCGAAATTCAGAAGTTGCACCTTCTCTTTCATTGTACTATTTAGTTAGTGTACTCATCTTGCGCATTTAGATTGGTTAAGATTTCTTCGTTACACCGGTACGGGAATGGCCAACTAATATATATATATATATATATATATATATATATATATATATATATATATATATATATATATATATATATGCGAGAGAGCCTATGGTGCGCTGAGGCTGGTGGTGGCTAGTTCCTGACAGATGGCCTACCCACTGCTGCTACTGTTGCGCCATAGTCTCATGTCCTGGGCGCCTCCTCGTGGCGACCGCTGGGTGGGAGTTGAGTTTCGCCCTTCTCCCTGCTAAGATTCAGGACACCAATCCGCATGAGTCAGTGGACTGACCATGTGCTAGACCCGCTGCCTTTCGGGTGTTCATTTAATCGAAGGCTTTGGCTGAGGACCCGAGTCGTTCTCCTGTCAGGTGTGGGTGCCCTGGCAGTATCCTAGTCCATCCTCTTCGGAGGTTAGGAAGTGGTCGATGGCCATGGGAGACAACAGGTTTACGGGTTATAAGCTCACAGCTCGATTGGCGTAGAGCACAAGTGCCACGCATTGTCTCTGACGGTGGGAGGACACCTTTGGGTGTTCAATGGTTTGCTACTGCCCGCCTCAAGCCAGGCAGCCCCTGGTCAAATTGGTGCAAATCCGCCAAAAACCCACCTGCGTCTGGCCGTGGTCGCAGGTGCGTATCTAATTACGGTCGCAAAACATATAATAATTGTTCCAGTACCTCAAGGGCTGCGTGTGACGGCCGTCAAGCAGATCCCCATCTGTCTCTGCAATCACATTCCCGAGTTAAGTCTGCTCCCCACTGCCTTGTGTGTCAGGCTGTTGAGCCAAAGGCTCCTGGCGGAGTCCATCAAGCAAACCTCCAAATCTCCCACTGCCTTGTGGGTCAGGCTATTGAGCCAAAGGCTCCGGGTGGAGTCTCTCAAGCAAACCTCCGAAGCCAAACGACGACTTCGCGTGCGATTGCCCACCAATGCAATCGTATGCCTGCGCGCAAAGCACTCAGCATCGAGTGCTGGAACGTGCGCACACTACTGGACCGGAACTCCAGCGAGCGCCCGGAGCGACGCACTGCACTCGTCGCGACGGAGCTGGCGCGCTACCACATCGATATTGCGGCGCTCAGTGAAACTCGGCTCGCTGAGCAAGGTAAGATGCATGAAGCAGGTGCTGGCTACACATTCTACTGGGTGGGCAACGCCGCCACAGCACCACGTGAACATGGGGTCGGATTTGCAATATCCGATCGCCTCCATGGTCAGCTGGTGGGTGAGTCAACGGGCATCAGCGCGCGACTGATGACTGTTCGCCTACGACTCGGCATAGGTAAGTTTGCCACTTTTATAAGCACATACGGTCCGACCATGTGTTGTCCTGATGACACGCGTGATCAGTTCTACACTCAGCTATCCTCCGTGATACGGTCTATGTCAAGGAGCGACGACTATTTCTGCTGGGTGATTTTAACGTGCGAGTTGAGCGTGATGCATCAGTATGGACAGATGTTATCGGTTCGCATAGCATTGCTTCAGCGAATGCGAACGGTGACATGCTGCTCTCACTGTGTGCCACTCACGGCCTGACGATCACGAACACTCGGTTTCCACTGAGTGCGAGTGATATAGCAACCTGGACGCACCCACGGAGTGGTCACGCTCACCTGTGCGACTATGTCATCGTACGTCAGTGTGATATGCGTGAAGTGCGCATGACAAGTGTACTGCGTGGAGCTGAGTGTGGCACTGATCACAAATTGGTGCGGACCAAACTGTACATATATTTTCGTAAATCTATGTATTGTACTCCCGCCGTGAATCGGCGTAAATTTAACATTCTCTCTCTCTCGGTACTGTGGCGAAACGTACTGAGCTGGAGAAGGCGATGGCTGCGCGCCTGTGTGATGTGGAGTGCATAGCCACAGTAGACAAACTGTGGCACCACATTCACGACCAGGTGACAGCTGCTGCCGAGGAGACCATCGGGCACGCAAACTGTAAGTGTCTCGATTGATTTGATGACAACAATGCGACGATTGGCGCATTGGTCTCGGAGAAGAATGCAGCATTTGCTGTACATGTTGCAGACCCCAGTGACTTGGGGAAGAGTAGTCAGTTTTGCAAACTTCGACGGCGACTGACCCGAGAGCTCCGTCGCATTAAAAATGCATGGTGGACGGAGAAGGCGAAGCAGATGGAATGCTACGCCGAACGCCGCCAACACAAGTAATTCTTTGACTCATTGAAGGTGGTGTATGGACCGAGATTGGAGCCGCTGAGGGCTCTGATCGATGGTAGTTCAGGCGCTACCTGCACGCAGACTGCAAACATAATGCAGATCTGGCGAAAACATTTTGACTGTCTCTTGAACAACCGTTGAGAAATCGACTGGCCTATTTTGAACGGCCTGAAGCAGCACGATGTGAAGGCGGATCCGGCGGATACGCCGACACTGGATGAGACGCAGAGAGCACTTGCTCAGCTGCGAAACGGCAAATGTGCCGGAGGTGACGGGATCCCACCTGAAGTATTGAAACACGGTGGACCCGCGTTGTTGACTGCGCTGCACCACTTGGTGCAACGTGTATGGATTGAGGAGGAGGTGCCTTCTAAGCTAAAGGATACCCTTGTGCTACCACCGTACAAGGGTAAAGGGAGCAAGCAATGATGCAAGAATTATCGTGGCATCAACTTGCTGAGTTGTGTTGGCAAGGTGCTTGTCCGAATCCTGCTCAATCGCCTCATGAGTCAGGTTGTGGAACCTAACGTTTCGCAGGAGCAGTGTGGATTCCGTTCGGGTCACAGCACTATAGATATGGTCTTTGCGGCTCGTCAATTGCAAGGGAAGTGCAGAGAACGACACCGGCCATTGTACTCCTTTTTTGTTGATTTCACCAAGACATTTGATACGGTGAACCGCGAGGCATTCTGGCTGATGTTGGGTAAGTTTGGTTGCCCGCCTAAGTTTGTAAGTTTAATTGAGTGTCTGCGCAGTGGTACATGGGTGAGGATGCAGCTGAGTGGAGAGACCTCGGATGACTTTGCAGTTTTTACTGGTGTGAAACAAGGCTGTGTCTTAGCTCCTGCCCTGTTTAATATATATCTTCATGCAATGTTGTCTTGTGCTTTTGATGCTGCTTGTGCTTACGGTGTTCGTGTGGAGCACCGTATTGATGGTGGGTTGCTGAACATCCGTCGTTTCGGTGCGAGAACTCTAGTCTGTGAGACGACTATCCGTATGGTACTGTTTGCTGACGACTGCGTTGTTTGCACACAGCGCGGATGAGCTGCGGCACATGAATAGTGCTCTGGCTTCGACATCGGCCGAATTCGGGCTCACCATCAACACAAGCAAAACTGTCTGTCTCTTTCAGCCTTCACCGGAGGTGCAATCTTCAATATTGCCGCGAATCAGCATTGGTGCTGAAGTATTGGAAACCACTTCCCGCTTCAGCTACCTTGGGAGTGTGATGTCGACTGATCAGTATATACACAGGGAGCTTCGTATCCGCGTGTCGAAGGCAGCGGCGGCATTCAGGAAGCTAGAGTACCGAATGTGGAACAACCATCAGCTTACCATTGGCACGAAGCTGATGGTGTACAAATCCATGGTGCTGTCCGTTCTACAATACGGCAGTGAAACGTAGACGATGTACCGGCGGGATGTGCGATATATCGAGCGGTTCCACCAGCAGTGTTTACGACGGATTTTGCGCATCGGTTGGGGCACCAGAGTTGCAGACACGGAAGTGTTGCGCCGTAGTGGTATGTATGCAGTGGACTGCATCCATTTGCTGAGACAACTGAGGTGGATTGGTCATGTGAGCCGTATGGATTCCACGCGGATACCGTAACAACTCGTATATGGTCAGCTGAGTATAGGGAAGCGGCACGTGGGGAAACCAAAGTTACGTTACGAGGACATGATTAAACTGAGCTTCCCACGTTCTAATACTGATTGCAGATCATGGGAATCGAAGGCGGTTGATCGGCGTGCATGGCGTGATCTAATCACGAAGGCAGTTGCTGAGGTGCGGGAGAAAGACGTCATGCATGCAGAGAAGAAGCGGCAAGCACTGATGGG